AAAATAGCGGCTTGCCTTAATATACACATTTTGAATGCAGACCTTAACAATCCCACTTATTTAAAAAAGAAGATTGAAATCTTGGCGAAATTTTATAGTGTGGCTGTGAAAGAGCTGTTATGGGAAAACTATCCTATCACACATCCGATATTTCTTTTGGACATCATTGCTTTTTGAACCTATATCAATGAATAACTACCGCTACTTTGCCCAAAGCTGAACTCTTTTACAGGAAGATTAAGAATAATGCTAAAATTACAAAATTCAATAACTTCAACAAAGATTTGCCCCACGATGGCACTGTGGTTTCGTATGACTTTTACATGCTTCTAAACAATTACTATGAAACGGAATCTTCCTCCAATATTTTGTTTATCCCTCTTATTATATCTCAACCTTTTTTGTGAAATTCATTACAGTTAGTTTTCTTATCTGCTGAGGTTTGTAGTATAGTTAGAATAACATTTAAGTGAATCTTCTAACCAATGCGGAATTATATTCTTACAAATGAAATGCGTTATTCTGATTTGGTGAATTTCTTGTAATAATCTTTCATTATACAGCTAATATTGTTGTGCTGAATATGCTGTAAGCTAGCTTCTTTGAAAATACTAACTCTGTGAAACATATTCCGTAATAGAAGTGTATTGGGAGGTAATAATGATGAGATAGATATAAACGCCATTAATGAGTTTTTCATGCAAAATCAACTAGATGTCCGCGATTCACCATCATTTTTTATTAATTTTAGAGGTTGGGGTTTTTCTTTCTCATTTCCGAATGTGGATGGAAATGTTCTTAATATCACTGTCCAAAAAATAACAGGTACCCCAATTGGTTTACACGGAGTATCCAACTTTTTTACATGATTTTTCCATACAAACCTAACTTTCTATTACAGGTCGTAAATATGATGGTGTTGAGCTTCAAATTTTTCAGGGAGTGTAAAATAGTTCGAATAAAACCCACACTTAAGCAGGGCTCCTCTTTTGAAAACAATAGTCTTCGCCCGATGAGCATCGTATTCTGCTTTTCCAAAGTTACGGACCATATCATGAAGGATCAACTTTATTCATTCTTGAATAACTGTAATGCCCTACATGATGCGTAGCTAGGCTTTCAGCCTGCACGTTATTCCTCGAATTACAACAGATCATGGCAGCACACAAACAAATCTTGACAAAGTCCTTACCATTCGTGACTATCCTAGGCTTTCAGCCTGCACGTTGTTCCTCAAAACCTTTAATCCCCGAAAGGAGCCCATTAATGGTAACATCAATGTTGGTAGGCGCTGTGTTCTTCTCGCTCTCAATATAACAAGCATTTTTCAGCGTCCCATACGCTAAGCTTATTAAGAAATTGTCTGATGAATTCAACTCTTCCCGGGCTGCCTGTAAGCTTATGTGATAGTATATTTTGGATCGAAAAGAGCTTGTTTCTGTGAATGACTCTTTTCTGACTGACGCTATGTCTGGTGTACAGCAAGGTTTCATTTGGAACCCATTTTGTTTAATCTTTTCGTAAATGGTCTTGGGGATTTGGTTGTCCACGACCGCTTTTTTTGCAGATGAAATCTATCCTCTTTATAGAAATAATCCAAACAATTTACCTATGTTACAAAACCAAATTAACGAGTCTTTAGCAATTATTAAGTCCTAGATGATAGATGATACCGTTTGCGTTAACTCCAGTAAGACTAAAGCCTAATTCTTCAATTCTCCCTTCATATACATATTCAACGACATAAAAATATGTGTGCATTCCATTGATCTTGTAGATTCAATGCAAACTCTTGGGGTCACCTTTAATCGCAAACTCAACGTTAAGCAACACATCGACAACACCTCTGCTAAAGTTTGTCTTACGCTTCCAAAGTTGTACAATCCAAATCAATATCAGTCTCAAATTACACGTACCATTTCCCCTTCCCTCATTGTGGCGCATGTCAATTACTGTATTGAAGTCTTTTTTTCAATGCAAAAGGTACAACTTAGATAGTAGTTAAAGCATTGTTAACCGTATAACCGTTTATAGCACCAAACTGAGAGACCATATCTCCTCCTTCGTTTATGCTTTCATAAAATTCTCCACTCCTGGCAAAACAACTTTATCGTTGAGCCTTTATGATGCGGGGAACAATCCAAATCAACTAAGAGTTTCTAACAAAAATTGCGGATGAAAGTTTTAATGTTAATTATGAAATCGGCTATAGGACTTTTTTCTGGCCCTTTCAGAAGTGTACCTTTGACAGATGCGAGAAAAGCCGCACATTTCAACAAAACTTCTTCAAGCAAAAAAACTCCAACTTGACCACTGTTATTGTCTGGGGATTACAGACTAATGTTAAAAATTGGTACAAAATTTATTATTATCCAAAAACCTGTGACGTTAAAAACTTTGAACGCTTTTTTCTCGATGCACGATTCTCCAAGATAGCCTCCGACACAACTATCATATTTTTTATTTTTCTTTATAGTAATTTTAGAGAGAAATACATAGTGTGTTTTCGTTGAAAAGTTAGTTTATAATTAGTTTATATAAAAGAGGTCTTTTTGCGGTCGACAATTGACCAAAATGATAGTCTTTCATTTAAATATTTGCCGATCACGCAAAAATTAATAGTTTTCCAAAATCGTACAATTTTTCGAGTTATAAATATGCAGATGTTTACAGATTCAAATCTGCACCATTTCGCTCGTGGCCGCACAGCTTCTTATATTAAAGATGCTTAGGAAAAATGGATTTAGTATCGCCATTTTTAGCATTTTTCATAATTACTTTTTAATACTTAAATATATTCATAATAATCTCCTCCTGCTCTTCCATTTTAAAAAAAATTTGAATATATGGTTTTCTAGAACTTCTAGAACTGCGTTCAATTAGGTTCTTGCAATTGCCCTAATTTCTTTTATTGTTAAGAAAGCAAAATTATAAGAAGGAACACAAATAATTAAATGGGTTCCCCTATGTCGACTGAAAAATGTTTTTCTGTAATCGGACAACGACCATATAGTTTTCCTTTTTATATGAAATAAACCGATACGTTTATAGAAAACAACAAATAGCAAAATTATATTCGGCTGCGACCGAATCTTTTAACACCCATCACAAATAGTTATTCTGAAAACAGACAAAACAGAAGCAACAAGTAAACTTCCATACTCTATAATATTGCGCATTAAGTTATGCGCAAAACACCTAAGAAGCCGAGACGTTCTCAATAGATATGAGGACTCTCCCACTGCACAACATAAGGTCGAGTCCTTTTACAGATTGTATCACTACGTCTGTAAATCTTCTCTGTCTGCCTAAGTGTCGAACTACGGAGTTTATAGTTTTTAGTGCCACTTAAATAAGATGGAATATTGCTGTTGTGTTTAGTTTGTAATGCTACTTAAAGAAGGTAAGATATTTTTGTTGTGTACTTTAAATGTTTCGTAAACTCAAAAGTTAAGCAAGAAAAATTAGCGAAAATGGTCGCAACGCCAACAACTCGAACGAAGCACCTTTATTCCCTCTGGTATTAGCACACTGCTTTCAGAAATCGTTTCCCATCTCTATGACGAAAATGATGTCGCAAGATATTAATGCATTTCTTTGCTTTGCTCAACTTTGTACATATTATGTACAACCAACATGCTTTATCAAATGCTCATATATATATTTTTTTTGCTATAAATATAAAAAAATTCGCCTTTACTTCTTTAAAAAAACAAAGAATGAATCTGCTGTTCCTGTAAAGTTCTTGAGAAGCACAATGTTCATCTCCTGCTGATCCATTTCACATTGTTATCAATAGCATGAATCATGCAAATATCCCCAAGCATTAAGGAAATATTGTTACGCACTTCTTCCACAATTTTTCTAAAAAAAAAAGATCAATTTTATTGTTTTGACAAGGTTTCTTACGTGTACAGTGTTCTTCTCGCTCAAAGGCCATGTTAAGCCTTCTGCAGGGTTGTATTTGTGGTAAATATCACAAAATATAAAACCCAGTGTTACATGATTTGGCTCACTTCTAATACCCACCTGCGTGTAACGATTACCAATATTTTTAAAAATTTGAAGAAAATATCTTCACTTTTTGGATCATGAGTACGCGTACCAGCAATTAGTGGACGGGTGGACTGAAAAACATTTCTAGAACGATTCTGATGTGACACTAATCCATAACATGTAAACTATGTGTGGTCTCTGAAGTTTACTTCTGGTTGCTACATTTTGACAAAAGAATGAAATTTTAATATCTGCAATATTGAGTAGGCGTGGCCGACTTTTGTCCGTTTTCGTAGAAAAGTTGCACGCCCGTTTGGAATTGATGGTGATCAAGAATGTATATGCCTTTGCCTTTGAGGCTTCCTTGTGGGTGCTGCGAACGTTTTGACAAATGAATATACTCCTGATTCTTCCCTGATGGGTATAAAAATCTTGATGCGGCTTATTGATTTTTCAAATATTTAAATACATATCATTTCTTTTAATTTTTACAAAAGCAACTGAATGAATTGCCGGTAAATACATTGAAAATATCTGTTATAAGTAAAAGTCTTCATTGTTTTTATTTAATGTTCGTTGTTCAACCAAGTTTAAATTATTCACACTTTATGGCCATATACTATTTTTGTATACAATTTTACTGCTTCTTCGTCTGTTAATTTCACTTATATCCAAGTTCTTCATGTGCAAGGTTGTAGATAGCAGCCACGACGTATTCTAAACGTAGAAATGTGCAATCTGACTGTAACATATATAAAAAAAAATATATACCATATAATATAACGTATAATATAACGTACACTATATATATATATATATTATACTTAATATAATTAATATGTACATATTATACATATACATATATGTATGTATATATACGTTATATTATAGAATGTATATATATTATAAATATATATACTGTACATAATATATATTTAACAAAAACACGTCATATCGTCCAACATGAAATTTGATTATTTCTATTAATGATTCAAATATACAAAAAAAAAAAAAAAATCACTTTCGGGCTTATAGATAGATATTCCTTCCTAGTGCCATAAGAGTCCATAAATATACTATAGATATATGATAATTTTAATAATTTAGTGTGAAAAATATGATAACTATTTTCACATGGGAGAGTTTTTCTAATTATCGTCGCTTGTTTCCCCATTAAGAATTTGATTGAAGAAAGGATTAAGAGCTTTCACGGCAACACCTATAAAATACTAACGTTATAACGCATCGTCAAATCTTTTCATTGACTGCCTTACCTTTACCAACTGTTTGAGCTGTAGACTCTCGCCATCTTCTGAATGTATCTTGCGGTATGACATCATATTCATTGAGTTTAATGAAAAGATCACTAATCAAATCTATGCAAGAAAAATAAGCACATTTAAAAACAGTTTTATTTACAAATAAAGCAACGATTCAAACGATAATATCTGACCTAAAATATTTAAAAACAGTTACATGTGCTATATCTGTTTGCATAAAAATACATTTCTTTTGTATACTTTCCTTAACTAAAATAATTACTAAACTAAATTGAACTGACAATAGTAAGAAAGCAATTTTTCCAATAAAGATATACAAAAATGTAATTAATGTAATTAAAAGATTTATGCCTTTAATTTAACAAAAACCATATGGGTGTATAGATGTTGCAGAGATTAGATTGGGGAAAATTAAAAGCAGGATGTCTTTAATTGCTTTCTGCGAAAGATGTTTTGCGTACATTTTAGGAACAAATTTTTATAAAAATTTAACTTTGAAGTGTGTATACACTTTATACCAAAAGTTTATAACTTTTTGAATATTCCATATTCCAAAATTTAACATATACATAAATTGACAGCGAGAAAAAAAAGGAGAAAACCGCCAATACGTGATTTCATTCGCAACGAGCGTAGTAATAGGAAGATGTGGATGGACATTTCAACATGTGTTTTAAATAATGAACCATATACATTCTGAATGACTCTTGTGTTTGTAATTCTTTTAATTTAAATTTAGGTCATCGACAATATCACGAATTCAGTAGATAGATGCATTTGTAATGTATATGGGATCGCTGAATTTTAGTTCTTTACATAATGAAGTGACAGAATACAGTAAACAGCTAACAAAAAGATTGTGCAGAACTTACGTCTTGGATGTTCTAAATTATGAACTAGCAACTGCAGTGCATATAAACATTCTAATTCTCGTTCTTCTTTTGAATCAATATAACGTATCAATACAGGTATGCACTTTTTTTGAAAACATGGCGCGTCTAGCTTATAGTTGCTGGAGTCTTTAATAGCAAAACTTGCGAGTGTTGTTGTTAAACCTCTGATAAACAGTTTATCGACGTCAACAATGTTTCCCTAAAAATATATCGCATTAACTTTTTTCTTTTGCCTTTTTTAAATATGGATTACGTTAATGTAATCAATGACATTATCAGCGTTGGCGTCTTCTTTCAATATTTGTTCAATATGATCGAACATTCGAGCGTAACGCTTTTCTTTTGTTTCCCTTGTGTCTATTTCGGGGTGGTATTTGTCGTTTTCAACGAACTCAAATTTCTAAAGAAAAAATATGATAAAACGTAAAATTAGTAAAAATGCAAAAAAAAATTATTTTTCATAATTGAAAATGATTTTGTTACTAACGTTGCTTTGTATAAATGTTTCGATTTCAACTTCAGGTATATAATCGGACCATTTCATATTGAATTTTTTGAACATACTTCTTGTAAAACTGGGACCGATTTCACGAGTGCAATATTGTAGATATGTTTTAAGGAACTTTTTGCCCATCTCACAGTTACTCGATTCGGCTTTTCTCAATTTCTCCGTCCACAAATCGTGTATCGTTAAAATTTTTTTGACAATTAGCGGACCTGTGGAGCATTTAAATAGATTTAATTTTGTAAATAAATTTATTGCTCGAGTACTACTTGCCGGTGAATTCAAGGATGTATAAGTACATGTCTGGGACATCAACTATTATTTCATTAGCAATACTCGCAAAATGCTCGTAAGCTAAATTAAAATGGTCTATAGAAAGGTAATTTCTTTCAATCAGGTATGCAATGCAATTAGATAGAAGTCTTCTATGAAAAGAACCAACGTCACGCAAATGCAAATAATCTGTAATAATGTAGTATAATAGGCCGCATAATTGGGATTGTCTTATTCGTTCTATGCATGTAACAGTTAAAAAATCGATTTGTTTTGAATTGGCCGCGTTTTCTACAATTTCCGAAACTACTGATTTAATTAATTTTAAATCAGCATCACTAGGTTCTTCGAATACAGCTTCTGGAGGAGAGCTTAGACCCGTTTCGCAAGCTATGTGAACATGTTGGTGTTCTCGTTGCAATTGTTGATATTGTGCAACAGATTGATCATCATCTGGTTTATCACAGCTAACCGAACTTGAGCCTGATCCAGGAGGAATTGCGGCAAAACTTGTTGGCTATTAAATAAAGTTTATAAATTTAATTAAGGACTTCATAAATTACGTTCGCTACAATACAGACCTGCTTTCTGGGAAAATGAATAAGTATACAATGTGAAACCATAATATTTCTGAGAAGAATCGAGATTGATATTTTCGCGAAAGTTGTTTAAGTTAATCTTGTGGATTTTCTTATATTTGCCGTAGCAAGTTCAGGGATCCGTAAGATCTCCAAGAACGGGCATATATTGCAATTCGTATTTAAATTATGCAGGCTTATATGCACGAAACGTTTTTCAAAATTAAGTTTCTTTCTATTTTCCTTAAGAAAGTAATATTAAAAAACTATATGTCCAATAAAAGGAATGTTAGGAGAAATGCAATGAACGAAAAAGGTTCTACAATTTTTCAAGTTTTTCTTTGCAACGAGTAATTTAACTCACGTTAAGATGCAAAAGATTTTACGCTTTGTTTGGGAAGATTAGTTAACTTTAAAACAGGCTGCCTTCTAATTGTTTTGCAAATTGAGTGGATTTTTTGTAAAATAAGATAACGTACCTTGCATGCAAGTCTTGGCGTAGAAGATGACTGTATATATTTCGAATGACTAGCAGATTTTTGCATTGATGTAGTTGTTGTCATATTCCGCATAGGTTGAGAAATTCGAGAAGATGAATGTTCTCTAGAAGCTTGTGAGGATCCGCTTCGGGGCAACAAACCTTATTATTGAAACATTTTTAACTACAAGCTGAAAGTGTCAAAATATCTATAAGATACCTCGGTCGTATCGATCTCGTTCAGTTGAGCCCTTATTGTGTGTGTGTGTGTATGCTGTTTTTTGTCGGCTACCACTTTTATTTGAGTCTAGTACTGATAAAGCGGCGAAGGAATTGGAAGGTATTGCTATAGGTGTGGATTTAGGCCATTGGAATTGCTGAACACCCCCCATTTTTTTGTTTGTAATATCAAAATTGTGCTGTAAAATAACATGAAACAAGTTTTGGAAGAAATTAGGATAGATACATGAATATTTGAGACAAAATTTACCAGAGCTCCAAGTTTATTTGGATCAACTGCTAGCGGACGGCTGCCTTTTCCTGTTTGTACATGCCAAATGCCTTCGTTTCCACTTGCGCTGTGACTGCCAGAACTCATGTGCTGGGTACGTTTTAAGCTGCTTACATCACCTCTTTGACTATGACTGCCATTATAATTTAGACGGTTATCCCCAAAACGATTTATACGATCATCCCTTTTGCCACCACCACCGCTAAGCCCACCAGCATTAGATAATGAAACGCTATAATTATAATATTCTTCATTTTTCGCCTCGTTCTCAATTTGATCTAAGGTAGTGGGTGTTTCATTGCGCGCGCGTGCAGCAGATTTCCATTTATTTTTTCTTAGATCTATCACATCTTGTAGCATAAAGCGCACACGTGAACTGATCTTCGTATTTTCGCTTTTCGATGCTATGGCTTGCATTCGCTGAATCACACCATCGAGCGTATAGAGTCGATTTTGTTCTCTAGGTAGCAGATTTTGTTCAAGTTTTTGACCAACTGTGGTCAACAATTTACAGAGACATTCAAGCATATCTTCGTTATCGGGATATTTAATTAAACTTTCGATACAAGTGACGACAATCTTTCCGGCTAAAATTGATATTTTGAAAAGCTCTCCTATAAAACGTACCGTGCCGCCAGAACGACGCCGAATTTTCCTTTCTTCTTCTTCAAGAAGTGCTTCTAGCTCCACTTTTTCATGAGAATCTTTGCATTTTTGAATTTTATCTCTTATCGGCTTAAGCTTTTGCTCTTTTGCTTTTGCGTCAATTACGTTGTAAGTAAATTCACGTTCCGTTTTATCCAAGAGTGCATTGCGAAACTGTACCAAATGTGTTTTTGTTCCAGACTCCATTTTCTCATCTTTCGCCTTTACTTCAGAAATTAGACGTGCACACAAACGAGCATAGCAAACTGAAAAGTTAGGTTCATCTATTGCCTTTTCAAACACAAGTATCATCACAGCTTCCATTTTCTCCATTGTATCTATCTTCAATTCCATAATTTCTTTCACAAGAGGATCAAACTTTTCTGGTGTAAGCTTATTTAATATACCCCGTACGCGCCGCACAAGTTCTTCTTTCTCGCGTTGCGATTTAGCTTTTGGATCGTTATCGATTTCGTTAGTTTTTAGTAGTATACGTGGACGCCAGGCATTAGCAATTTCGTTAAGTTGCACATCTTGATTTAGTGATAAATTCACATGTATCATAGGTTTAGAATCTTCAGTAATATGGGCACCTCCGGTACTCGAATTAGAAACTTGCTTAGTATAATTCTTCGAGAAAGAGCTGTTTCCGCCAATTGAACCCACCAAGGGTTGAAATTTTTTATTGGCATTGTTAACTGCAAACGCTGGCATTAAATTAAAACCTGGCAAAATAGATGTAATTTTAATATCAGGTTGTATACGCGAATTTTTAACATCGCGCAAATCCATTAATTGTTCTCGGTTGTATTTCTTTCTGCTCGTAGAAGAATGATTGGGTGATGGCATTGAAAACGTTTTGGTTGTGAGTGAGGTGTCATTACTAAAATTTGTAGATTTCTCTAGCGGGCTTACTAAAACATTGCTTTTGGCATAATTCACATGTATATCCTCATTTTTGGATGTCTCTATCAGTTCTTTGATATTTTCGTTATTGTCAAGTTTGGACGCAAACGCAGAATTAGTTTCATTGAGGTCGGCTTCACAAACTCCAATTTCGATAGCTATTACTTTTGCTGTATCATCACAGATGATACTAGAGTTATTAAAACCTTTTGAACTTTTTTCAAATATATTGTTTTCACTTTCTTCTGCGGAACCGTTATTTGGAGTGTCGAGAGGTGATGTAAAATTGTCGTTAGTTTCCACTAAGGATATGGTTTGCTTTTGGGTTTGTTGCTCATTCCCGCTGACAGTATTCCGTGAACTTGTCAGCAATTCCTTTTCGCCTAATTTCGTAGTGTGTAGATTACTTACTCCACCAACACAACTTTCGTTAGTAGCACTCTCATCATTTAGGCAAATTTTTCTCGATGCCCGCTCCAATTTGTGATCAACTTTTCCCAACGTGAGAGAATTTAAGGTGAGAGAATTTTCTGATGAAGATGCACCCCCCATTTCAGAATCTCCTAACTGCTGATTCGCTGGTATTACCTGTGAACTTTTATCCACCGTATAATTTTGTGTTATGATTTCTTGATGAATATTCTCGGAATTTGTTCCAATTGCTGACTCATTATTTCGTGGCTGCTTTCTTGCCTCTTCATCCGGTTTCGCTATAATATAATATGCCACCAGTAATAAACAGACAATTACCTCATCGAAATATATGTACACACATTTTTATTTCCATTATGCATATCTCAATCAAAGATAAATATTTGTTGTTATACGTTTAAATATGTAATATAGATCAGGAAGAAATGTTTACGACTAAAAATGTTATAAACTTTGTCAAAGATTGTTGGCATGACGGCGGTACGTTTTTAGCATAGAGCCATTACCTAACTTGGTGGTATTTTTTTCCCGCATTCTATATAGGACTCGCACAAAGAACTCGATAAAAATGTTACAAAGCTCCTTGGCTTACTTCGCAGAAGATATGGTTTCTTTAATTTCAAAATAAAAAAAGTAAGAAAGTTTTATTTGACCGAGGTCGAATCTCGTATACTCACCACCACTCATTTACCGCCTAGCAGTGAGATAAAACTGGTATTGTAAGTTTTTGCCCGCAGATTAGTATTAAAGAGTTTTAGAAACTGCAGGTATATTACTATCAAGTTTTGTTTAGAATAATGAAATTTTTTTATCCTATTTGTTATTCGACTTTGTTATTTTTTTATGGAAGCGATGACGAGCCGTAAATAATTTTTTCTCTAGTTATCTATTACGCCCATCAATATTTAATAATAAGAATCAATACAATTAGCTTCCCTCATTCTACCCTCGAAGCTTGGGTGCCTTATTTGATACTCATATTGACTCATCTATTTTGAAAAGATTAATCCGCCTTACAATGACATTTTTCGTCCTTTTTAATGTAAAATTAAAACATAGGTGGTCGCATTCTACTTTCAAAATCCCTTTATTTTATGCTCAACTGATTGTATTGTGAAAAAATGAAATCGCCGCGTTGGGGGGTGCACAATATTTACTTTACAATTGAACAAGTGCTAAACGAAAAATATACCTTCACATGAAAAATGTATTGAACCATTTTCAAGATTGTATTGTGCTTACCTTTTGGAGCAACAAGTGGAAACGTTAAAAATGTAAAATTCTAACGCTTATAACTTTGCGTGAATTGTTCCGATTTTTCTCATTTTTGAACGTGAATAATAGGTTCTTCCATTATGTGAATATAGAAAGTTTCTATCCTTCATAATTTATGACTAATGAGCAAAAACTCACATATTTTTGCTTAGGAAAACAGAGCTGTGTTCAGATTACACTGTGCTCTGGAGATGTATGTCAGCTAATTTAGCATCTGCGAAAAATTCCAATATTTCTACCAAATTGGAAGCCGATATCTTAATTTTTGCGACTAGGAGAGTACGCCACACAACATCTTACAAACAGACAGGCTATTGCTAATCGGTTCGGAATTTGACGCTGACCAAGAACGTATTTAGCTTATAGAGACGGGGGTGCTCCTTTTAGCTATTGCAGATATTATGGCAAAATAAATATACCCCCATTCTTCAATGGAGGTTATAATGAATAAAAATATTCCAAAAAATTTTTGGTTTTCCTAATAGTTACAATAAAAACAAACGAAAATGAAGTTTACTAAATTAGTTACTAATATAAGGTTTTTGTGTTAGTTTTTCCGCGTGAGTATCTTCATACATTTTTTCGCTAAACTTTCTGTTTTATAACAACACATTTGTGTTTTCTTTATGGCTAGCCTGTGCCCATAAAGCAAAATTTTGGCATAACTTGGAAATACTAGGTAAGTTATACAGAACTGAATTTGTACTGGGAGTAATATATTTTGCGAGTTTGCCGATTCAGGGTTGTCGACGTCGAATACACACTCGACTCCACCATCCTTTTCGATAGTGTTGCTTGGTGAATTTATATGAGTCGCTTGCGGTCAAATCGAATGGAATTTTCTAGTTGCCAACAACGTTGTGTTTGTAAAGTAAATAATTATATAATCAAACCAATAATCTAAATAGACTACATTTCATTTATCTAGCCTTTTATGTATTAAACAATATACTCTTAAATAACCTTTCAATTCTTCGCTTAATATTAGGTAAAAATTTGTTTGCTACATTTTGAAATTTCCCTCATTAATATGACAAGTAGGCTTTATATTCATTTAGCGTAACCAATATGTGCATTTCTTAACGACATTTTGCTTTATTTTACCATGAAAATATTATTTGACACCAATTTTATCGTCAAATGGATTTTCATTCGACACTGACAAAAATCGTGTACATTGTTGACAGCTGCAAACTAGCTATTCGAAGCGTCAAATCGACGTCAACAGCCAAAAATCCAAATGCAAAAATTAGCGTCAAGTTTGTGCTGATTTTCTAATAAAAATGTAGGTTTATTGTAAAAAATAAGAAAACTATATTCGACAGAACGTTTTATATTCATTATAAACCAAACAACTGGAGGTGTTCGCAGTTTATGTGCACTATAAGCGTATCATATGACAGGCCCATATTGATTGGGTCCATTTTCAAGCAACGTCATTATGATTCGAAAATTAATTGTTGTTTACCGTTATCGCTTGCCAAGCTTTTGCATGTTTGCGATGGCTTAGGGGTTCATTTGCAATTTGATCCCGTACTGGTTGTGGGTATGACTCTATGCTAGTTGTGTACACGCTTTTTTCTTTTTTTTTTCCTTCTTATTTGCTTTATTATACTTACACTAGGTTTTAATATTAATTAATATAAGATTTACTTTAAAAGTCAATTGAACTGGACTGTCAATTTGTTTTAGTCGACTTTCATGTATAAGTAAATAAAATAAGTAAATAAATAAATAAAGTAAATAAATACCAAATTCCACATAACAACTTCCAATGTTTCTGCCAAATTTCAGGCCAATGTCCTTATTTTTGAGAGGAAAGTTGATCACAGACATTACTCCCGCTACCAAAGGAACATGCTTAAATTCAGTCAGAATTTGATGCAGATTAAGCATATATATATATTTACTTTATGAGAACTTTGAAGCGTTTTAAGAAGATAAGCAGACCGTCACATTTCATGGTGTGTGTAAGGAAATGGTACGAGTTATATTATTCAATCTACCGTCTATCATCAAGTATTGCCGCTCCTAGCTCTCAAAAAGAATGTGATTTCCGTGTAGAAAGCACAACCGTGCTTTTAAGACTTTTTGTCAAAAGAGATTGCCTTGCGTGAAAAGACAACAAAGTTAAGATCTGTCTTAAACCAGACAGCTGCAGCTAACAACAGGGAGAATAGCACGCTCCAAGCCAGCATTGCTAACATTTCCTAGGATAGCTTTTCAATATTTTATTTCTATCAGCTCTTTCAGCATATTACGCCCAGTAATTTCGCCCTAAGTGCATCAGTTCCTGTCCCGATTAAAAAGCAAAAGTTACGTTTACGCATATGTTTCTTGAAACAGAACTCAACTTGTTGAAAGGTCCCAAAAAGTTTGCTTTGTACACTTTACGAGATAACTCTTGATAGTATGAAAAGGTTAAAGACAGAAGGCTCAGATGGAAAAGTTAGTTTTATACACTACTATATAGTACTAAGTACGGCTACTTTCTGAAAACAGTGAGACCTTACTAAATGTTGCGAAAGAAGAAGACAAACAGAAGAAGTTAAACATTTTCCCCATTAATACCAGGAATTTTTTCACAAGGCGGTGATGTGTTATTGCTTCGACCGAAATGATATTTTAAAATACAGCGAATTCTTGCAAAATTGTAGTATAAGTGTTAAGTTTGTGAGGTAACGTCCAGAAAGACTGCCTTTTATTATAAAAACCTATGCAAAATTGATTTAATCTTGTGTCTGTCTTCTATTCGCTCTATAGTTCGTAATACTTGAAAATTTTAAAGAAATTTTGTGCACCGACGTGCTTTGGCACATGAGGGATCCTATTGAAAATGGACTAGTTCACATCGCTTTTGCAACCGCTTTCCACACAACGTCTTCGTTTTAAAAAGCTGTTATACGAAAAAAATTTTCATTTTCAATATTCTCGAAGAAAGCGTTTCGGTATACTAATAGAACCTTTTGTACGAGAACTAAATATTCATACAGTAAAAAGAGCTCATTTTTAATATTTTATAATAAAAATTGGTGACAAATAATTAAAATTGGATAGGTATATTTTGATACCACAATTTATAAAGGTTCTAATGAAAAGCAAGCCATAATATGGTAAAGAAGCATAATTTATAGTATTTTTTCGACGAAAATACGTGAAGATTAGTAAAATAAAATTAACTTGAATGCAAGTGGTGTAGAATATTTAAGGGCGGACTAGCTCCTTTATAATGATTTTGCGTGTTTTCGAAATTCAGATAGTTTTTACTGAACTAAAAATTGTCGGGAAGTTTGTTTTAAATAAGTATGAACTGTCAGAATATGTCGCGCCAGGTTGCGCTTTTCGTTTTGTCTTTTGTTTACCTAGTTTGTTTACCTAATTTGTTTCATTTGTATAGGCTTTAAGGAAACGTTTGTATCGATTTCAGTGATTTTAAAGATGAATGAAAAAATTTTGTTAAGCATAATTTGGGAAAAAATTTAAGCCTTAAAGCTTTGATCCCCTAAACTGAAAAGGAAAATAACATCATAAACTAAGCTAGTTGATTTTGGAAAATAAAAAACAAAAATTTAACGAGAGCAATGAACACAAAAAACGCATGAACAAGCATAAATAGTCGCTGCGTGATCGTTTTAAGAGAAACTTAGTACAATATGGGATAATCAAATTATATATTTATTGTTTACACGCTATAACAGTCTTGGCATTATTTTATTTCCATCAAGATTGCTTGCCAAATTATTTTGGAAAATCATACAGCGTACAGAAATAATTAACATTTGTTACAGAGGTAGTGTAATTATTCGAGTTACGTCTCTTACTTACTTACTGTACTTATTCGAGTTACATCTCGTGTTTGAAAATTCACATACCTTATCATCCATCAATATGCATTTCCTTTCATCATATTAATGATGGTTTGTTGGAATGCCTTAATGTGCCAACTCAAACTTGTTTAAATAATTATTATGATTTTCATAAAATCAATATTGTATTACTAAAA